TAGGAGATGTTTCACAACAGACATGTTTCCTCCCTGACATGCAAGCACCAGGCAGTCACTGTTGTCTTTATCAGTAAGTGACAGATCAGCCCCCTCTGATACAAGAAGGTTATACACATTATAATGTCCCCTTCCTGCTGCCATCATGACTGGTGTCTTTCCAGACGTGTCACCTTTTCTATTGATGTCGAATGTTTTCAGTGACAGGAGATGTTTCACAATAGACATGTTTCCTCCCTCACATGCCAGCATCAGACAGTCATCGGTATCTTGATCTGTGAGTGACAGATCAGTCCCTTCTGATACAAGAAGGTTATACACATTATAATGTCCTCCAGCTGCTGCCACCATGACTGGTGTCTGCATTAAAGAGCCTCCTTTTCTATTGATGTCAAATGTTTTCTGTGATAGCAGATGTTTCACAATAGACATGTTTCCTTCACTGCATGCCAGCATCAGACAGTCATCGTTGTCTTCATCCGTAAGTGATAGATCAGCCCCGTCTGATACAAGAAGGTTATACACATTATAATGTCCTCCAGCTGCTGCCATCATGACTGGTGTCTGCATAAAAGAGCCTCCTTTTCTATTGATGTTAAATGTTTTCAGTGACAGGAGATGTTTCACAATAGACATGTTTCCTCCCTGACATGCCAGCATCAGACAGTCACTGCTGTCTTCATCCGTGAGTGACAGATCAGCCCCCTCTGATACAAGAAGGTTATACAAATCATAATGTCCCCTTCCTGCTGCCATCATGACTGGTGTCTGCATTAAAGAGCCTCCTTTTCTATTGACGTCAAATGTTTTGACTGATAGTATATGTTTCACAACAGACACGTTTCCTCCCTGTCATGCCAGCATCAGGCAGTCATCGTTGTCTTCATCCGTAAGTGACAGATCAGCCCCCTCTGATACAAGAAGGTTATACACATCATAATGTCCCCCAGCTGCTGTCACCATGACTGGTGTCTGCATGAGAGAGCCTCCTTTTCTATTGACGTCAAATGTTTTCAGTGATAGGAGATGTTTCACAATAGACATGTTTCCTCCCTGACATGCCAGCACCAGGTAGTCACTGTTGTCTTTGTCAGTAAGTGACAGATCAGCCCCCTCTGATACAAGAAGGTTACACACATCATAATGTCCTCCAGCTGCTGACATCATGACTGGTGTCTGCATGAAAGAGCCTCCTTTTCTATTGATGTCAAATGTTTTGAGTGATAGGAGATGTTTCACAATAGACATGTTTCCTTCACTACAGGCAAGCATCAGACAGTCATCGTTGTCTTTATCCGTCAGTGACAGATCAGCCTCCTCTGATACAAGAAGGTTATACACATCATAATGTCCTCCAGCTGCTGCCATCATGACTGGTGTCTGCATGAAGGAGCCTCCTTTTCTATTGACGTCAAATGTTTTCAGTGATAGGAGATGTTTCACAATAGACATGTTTCCTCCCTGACATGCCAGCATCAGACAGTCACTGTTGTATTTGTCAGTAAGTGACAGATCAGCCCCCTCTGATAAAAGAAGGTTATACACATCATAATGTCCCCTTTCTGCTGCCATCATGACTGGTGTCTGCATTAAAGAGCCTCCTTTTCTATTGATGTCGAATGTTTTCAGTGATAGGATATCTTTCACAATAGACATGTTTCCTCCCTGACATGCCAGCAACAAACAGTCATGATTGTCTTGATCTGTGAGTGATAGATTAGCCCCCTCTGATACAAGAAGGTTATACACATTATAATGTCCTCCAGCTGCTGCCATCATGACTGGTGTCTGCATGATAGAGCCTCCTTTTCTATTGATGTCAAATGTTTTCAGTGATAGGAGATGTTTCACAATATACATGTTTCCTCCCAGACATGCCAGCATCAGACAGTCATCGTTGTCTTGATCTGTGAGTGACAGATCAGTCCCCTCTGATACAAGAAGGTTATACACATCATAATGTCCCAATGCTGCTGTCATCATGACTGGTGTCTGCATGAAAGATCCTTCTTTTCTATTGATGTTAAATGTTTTCAGTGATAATAGATGTTTCACAATAGACATGTTTCCTCCGAGACATGCCAGCATCAGACAGTCATCGTTGTCTTTATCAGTAAGTGACAGATCAGCCCCCTCTGATACAAGAAGGTTATACACATCATAATGCCCTCCAGCTGCTGCCATCATGACTGGTGTCTGCATGAAAGAGCCTCCTTTTCTATTGATGTCAAATGTTTTCAGTGATAGGAGATGTTTCACAACAGACATGTTTCCTCCCTGACATGCCAGCATCAGACAATCACTCTTGTCTTTATCAGTAAGTGACAGATAAGCCCCCTCTGATACAGGATGGTTATACACATCATAATGTCCCATTTCTGCTGCCATAATGACTGGTGTCTTCAACTTTCTACTTTTACAGTTGATATTAAATGTTTTGAGTGACATCAAATATTTGACTATAAATACCGACCCCATTTTACATGCCAAATGGAGGCAATTTATGCCACACTTGTCGGTGATACTAAGATCTGCCCCTCCCTTCACAAGGAGTTTTAAATCTTCATCTGCTCCTGACGAAATGCACAACATGGCTGGTGTACATCCGTCGTAGCCAGGCACATTTATCATACCTGGAACACGCTCTGCAATAACCCTGGTGAAGTCTGTGCTTCCTGATTTACAAGAATGATGAAGACACGTATAGCCTTTACTGTCAGTTAGTGTGATATCTGCTCCTTCCTCTAACAGGAATTGGAACACATCCAAATGGCCTGATTCTGCAGCAATCATGTGGAGGGATTTGTCTCCCTTTGTCATGTTCACATCAAATGCCTCACAAGCGTTGAGCACTGTTATGATCTGTTTGAGATAACTGAGCCTACCATGTTGCACACAGGCCACTATGCCAGAACGGAGATCAGTTATGGACCTATGTGAAAGTGCCATACCAATTTCCTTTTTTCCAAGCATTTCTAGTGATTGTTCAAACAGAGCATGATTATCTGACTGTAACACCCAATAAAAGAAACACTCTCCAAACTCTTTATCTTTCTGTTGAATTATCTGTGGCAAGTTATCAAAGAGATCGTTTGTAAAAGAACTGGATATGTCATTATTGAAAATAGGGTGTTTTAAAGTCCACTTGAAATATCCTTGTCGGATACCTTCCACCAGCCTCGACAACACCAAGGGGTACAGATCAGGACTGAGGTGGATCAGGTTTATGACATCATCAGTGATTGCTGGCTGTTGCTGGCCTCTCTTTTCCCGTTTTACTCTTTCGTATAAAAACTTCAATGAGCAATGTTGCAGCAACAAAATCGGATTGTAGTTTCCAAAGGCACAAGCTGTTGCATCATAAATGGATGGATGTGAGAAGAAAGCCATGTTTTTCTCCACTGTACAGTAGGTTCCAGTTAAATTGCCGATCTCGTTACCAATCTCTGTAGGAGTGCAAGATGGAACCACTTCCTTCACAACTTGAAACATATCTGTTTCTCCTTTACCAAGCTGGAACGAAACAAGGTCCAGTTTCCCATCACACAGAAGGAGAAGAATAAGAGCTGCAGACCTGCTGCTGCGTTCACGGACAATAGTGTCGAGGTGGCCTCTCAAATATGTCACGGGATTCTGGAAAAAGTCTTGAGGCGATAGCACATGTAAGTCTGGGTTAGATGTGTATAGGCTACAGATCAGAGGATATCCAAACATTTTAGTCTGTAAATGAGCGATAGTCTTCACATCTTCCTCAGAGATGTCACACATTGGGTATCTTCGCATGTGGGACCTGAGAATAGTCTCCTTTTCGTCTTCTGTGAGACATTTCTTACTTAAATCAATGACACGATGCAGGTTCAATAGGTTGACTTTGAACTGATGGAGTCTTGCACGTCCCTCATTCCAGTTGTAGGTTCGGGATGTGAAAAGGAAGCGGAGTTTGAATGTCTGTTGTGATTCCTTCTCACTTGGCTGTGATTTATCCTGGCCTGGTTCCGCTTGTCTCCTACCCTGGTTGGATCTGGTCTTACATTCCTTCTCCAGAATGTCAATCTGTAAAGCTTCTTCCAAGGCACTGAACACTTTCTGTGTGTTTTCTAAATTAGTTGGAAATGTAACGGAGCCGAAAATGTCATCAAAGACAATTAACATGTGATTGTGCCGTTTGATGATCACATTCGCACCAAGCTGTTCAATATGTTCTATGAAGAATACCTCATAATGTTTCTTGAGATATTTCTTACAGAGCATTAGTGCAATGCTAGTTTTCCCGTCTCCTGGGGCTCCACAGATAGCAGCATGGCCATACCTTTCCAGAAGATCCTCTGCTGTCACTAGTTGGTGGATTTGGACAAAAGTCTTTTTCAGATTGTCTATTCTTGTGATGACACTTTCTGAAGAAGAAGAAAACATGATCCACATTAACAATGACACTTTTCTCCTCTCATTTTGGAATTATTCGCACGTTGAACAAGAGTCAGACATTATCATCCCAGTCTGGGGCAATTCGGAGATGGAATTTGACTACCTACACCCCACTTTTTGTTCATTGCCATTGGATACCTTCACTTCAGTGAAGGCAAAATGATGCTGTTTGAAGCCAACTGGGCGCAAATGACTGACATCAGATCCGTACAGAGTGGAGGGGTGTCGAATTGCAGCTTTATGATTGGTCGATGTTTTAATTAGTTGGGAGAAACACTTCAACAGCGAGAACAGTAAACAAATAGAGAGCTGCTTTCTGACTGTGAAATGCCATGCCTAAGGGTTAAAACTTACGGTTTCCTAATGTAAAAGTCTGTGTATGAGGGTTCAAAGTTACAGTTTCCTAGTGTGAAAGGCCAAGTCTGAATGATCAACGTTACAGCTTACTACTGTAAAAGGCCGTGTCTGAGGGGTCAAAGTTACAGTTACCTGGTGTGAAAGGCCTTGTCTAAGGGGCCAAAGTTAAGATTTAATGGTATGAGATATTCTTGCCTTGTGTGAGGCATCCCTGATTTCCCTTCTCCCCAAGGGAAACATGTCCCTTCTCCCCAAGGCCAACATTAGAGGCGTTAGAGATGTTGGTCTGTGACATGGGGCACTGATCTGGAACAGTGAAAAAGCATTACCAGAAACCTTTAGTCTTACATAAAATGAGATCAACACTGATTATATACTAGTACTTTCTTTAAGAACTATTGGAAGAACTTTGATTGGCAACTCATGAGTTAGTGAATGAGTTAAGGTTGATCGTCACATCAGCAATGTTTCAGCCATATTTGGCAACACATGAAGTAAAGTAAGATATTCAAATGTAACTCACAATAAACATGTTGTGTTGTAGATGTGGATGTGGGTTGTCTCCCCTGTTCCAGCTCTCTATGTACTTCAGCTCTGATCTCAGGAGGATTCTGGCGATCATCGGCTTCAACAGGGTTGCGGTACAAAAGGTTTCCCATGGTCCTCGCTGACGACCGTCAAGGGGACATAACTCTGATACGATGATCACTGAAGGTAATATATGAAATAAACATATTTATTTCCATTAAGTTTAGGAATTGGCAAACAAGCAAATTTTGCTTATCTGAATGCCTCTGCCACAGAGGAGAAGGTAATATATGAATGTACGGCTTTATCCGTTCTATTAGACCTTTCTAACCTTGTGTCGGACTTTGTCAAAACACAATTAAATTAACAGCTCGAAATTTACAGAACATTTATTAAAAGGATGACACACACAATCCTGTTAATTCCACCCAGTGATTTTTCAAAGAGATTGAAGGATAGGATAGGATTCGGATAGGATTTTTTTGTTTGAAAATATTCAACAAAGGATATGTGACAAAGGATGACTGTACATTGGTTAGGCGAGTATATCTGAGTAATATTCATTACTAATCTCACGGACCGCCGTCACATTGCTTGAATATTGCTAAGTGTGGCGTTAAACAAAAAAATATAAAAGTTAAAACTAATCTTACTTCAAACTGTAATGGGTGTAATAACAAGCGTCATCAGCAGAAGACAAATCCCCGCATCCCCAAATTCGAAAACCCCCAAATCAAATGACTGTTACTTTAAGGCATACTTGATGAGAGAATTTCTTTCTAATTTGTCTGTCCATATACAAGAATAGTTTTTAACTTCAATTTTTTTGCCAAACTTGAATGAAAAATGTTTTTTAGTTCTGCTCCGTCAATGACACATGACACCGTTGTTTCAGGTAAATCAAACTTGTTTCTATTGAAACAGGATAAAATCTTATTTTAAATCCCTAATTCGCGAAAGGCACCAGTTAACAACCTGGTCTTTGTGTGTGCAAATTTTTCTTGAAAGAATACCTATTTGTTTTAGAGATATGGTGCGAACAAACACACAACTATAAACACTATGAACACTAAAACTATGAGTCAATGTCAAACCTCTTGCCATGGAAACAGGAACAAATATATAACATTAAAATGCCTTAATAGCAAAAGGCGCCGCTTCAACTTATGATTAATACCAAGTTTGGATAAAAAATGTTGAATAGTATTTTAGTTCTGCCCTGGATACGAGTCTAAATTATTTTCAAGAAAACAAGGAAAAATCAAATTGTTAAAAAAACCTAAATAGCAAAAGGCACCTTTACAGCCCTTGATTAATACATGTACCAGGTTTGGATGAAAGGTCTTTCAACTCGTGAACAGAAAAACACACCAACAATTGGTGAAACGATCCTGATATGCTTGTCGGACGTGTCAGTATGAGATCAGGGAATTGGGAACGTGTTTCCATGTATGACATCTTTACATGAACGGCCGGATATGTGTAAAGAAAGAAGCGATACAGCGTACAACTTATAATTTATCCTGAAGGGGGCTCCAGTCTCTACAAGACAGGTCACAATACTATCATTATACTATCACAGACAACAGCATGTGACTGCTCGATATCTCTTTTGACGCTTCGTCAAGGCTATCAATCACAACCATGGAAAACAAGTATTTGTCACAAAGTGACGAAATGTCCCCCGCCGCGATATGTGTTTTTTACCCCAAATATTTTATTCCTTTTGAATAATATTATTTTTTGTGTTTCCTCCTCCATGGAACTATTTGTCGTACCATTAGAAATAATTACCAAAATTCCTGCAAATCAAATCGGCTCATGGCTGCTCATATAGAGACATGTCTGTCATATTTGCATAACAACATGACACAGAAAAAAAGAAAGGCAGATATATCGAGGCAACACCCGTTTTCCAACCCGTTAGCCAAAATCATCAAACATGAAGGAATCTAGAAATTAGTTCTTGAGATATCGCAGCAACACTGTTTTCCATCTCGAATAACAGATTTCCCTGCTGTTACCTTGAAAATTAAGTTAAGGTCACCAAAATCTACTTGTGTCCTGCGGAGTCTTTATATACACCATAGTACCAAATATGAAGACAATCCAGCGATTAGTTCTTGAGATAGTGCGGCAACACCGTTTTCCAACTCCAAAAGCAGATTTGCCTGCTGTGACCTTGAAAATGGGGTCAAGGTCACCAAAACCGACTGGTGTCTGCGGTGTCTGTATATACACCATAGTTCCAAATATGAAGACAATCCAGTGTTTAGTTCTTGAGATATCGCGGCAACAAACAGGTGGGACGTACGGACGGTCGTGATTACTATGTTCCCCGCTCCGCGCTTTCGCGCGGCGGGGGCAAAAAAAGGAAGAGATGAGTGAAATAAAGGTTCGGGACACTGTGCACAACAGTCATGACTTGCGACAAGTTCATTTTCTAAGACCGAAGTATCTACATACAAGAGAATCCACCCTCCAATCAGGAAATCGGACTGGGAAACCTTAACAATGAAAAAACAATAAACACTGATCTATTTAGTATATTCACGAGCACAAGTAAAAGAGTGGGTACACACGTAGGTTATGAGCGTGTAAGGCCATGGTGGAGGTGACAGCTCGAGTTTTTTTCTGGGACTGCAGAGGTGGACTTGCAGCTGCTAAAGGAAAAGTGGAGCACTCTCGCTGGACATAAGGAGAGGTAATCCATGCACAAGATAGAGGTGAGTGATAGGATTGTGAAACGCTGATCAAGGCTGTCCCGGAAGGTGGTTCTTTGCAAAATATTCCAGCAAAGGCCCAGAAAAACCTTCCTGTTCAAGGACCGTTCAAACTGCACCAAGTTGACATCCAGACTGTGGATCTCACTAATACGTGCTACAGTCACAAGAGCTAGTAAAAAACGGTTTTGAAAGTGTTCAACATTAAAACTATAGCAGCAAGCTATTCGTAGTTAGCCAAAGATAAATGGCGATTATTAAAGATTCCAAGCAGGAGGCCCAAACCGGGATAACTTGTCCACCAATTAGTAGGACCGATTGAGAGATTGACATTTAGCAATGGTAGAATCGTTTGATCCCGTGGTAGTGGCAATGACAGTTGATAGCAGCGAGATACATGGCCAGAGTAGACTCCCTGAGCTTCCGTCTGTATCAGAGGTGTTGAAGATAATCAGCGATATGTTGTGGTGAAGCAGTAGTGGGAGAGGAAATGTCATGAGCCCGCCAATAAGACTGAAAAAACGTATTTGCAATGTCGTAAAGGCGTTTGGTTGAGTGGTGAGCCTCGGAAATTGTCTTTGCCACCCTATTGGGATAAACTTTCGTGACATGAGATTTCTGCAAATGTGTCAAACGCGATGGGACTGCCTCCGCGGTCTAGTGGTAGAGCGTCCGCCTGGACAACGGAAAGTCAAGGGTTCGATCCCCAGCCGTGTCATACCAAAAGACATTACAAGATAGTACTTGTTACCCTGTCTGGCGCTCGGGCGAAAACAAGGACTGGACGGCTCGGAGTCAGTACACTGTGTCTGAGTTGGCTATTCATGGTATCTCAGTGAGCTAGCAGTATAAATCGGCATCAGTCCGGACTTGTTCAAACAGGAACACACACACGTGCATGCACGTCGCTATATAAGTGCAATAATCTTTGACATAACGTTAAACCCAATTTCATCCCTGCTCACCCCATACGCAATGGCACAATTGGAAGTAATGCTGCAGAAGAAAACAACTCGAACTGAAAGGCATGGGGAACCAATTGCACGTTGAACGAACGGGCGCGACCAAAAGCAGATACCAAAACCTTTTGAAAGACCCTAGGAAGAATGTCGGTTGAGGTCCTACCAGGAGACCCTCAGGGCATCGTGGTCTCAAGCCATAGGATCGGGGATTGGAGACAATAACTGGGAGAGCTAAACATTGAATCTACTTGCAAACAGATCAACGTCTTAGACGTACAATTGGCAGATCCACCAAAAGATCGACGGGTGAAGTGACCATTCCATTGGGGACATCGTGTCAGGTGGGGACAGGGAGTTGGTTATCATATTGAGACACCGAGAAAGTAGAGTGCAGTAACTGGATGTTGAGGGAGTCGATCAACTACAAGAAGTTGATTACGAGCGACAGGAGCGACATTGGCTTGGTTGATCCCATCTTGCTGATGTATCAAACTACCATGGATCATGAGGTGAGAGGAACAGAGGAACCCCGAACAATGAGATATTGCCAGTATCACAGCCTTGAACTCGAGGTTGTCCTTATGTAGGCAATGCTTGTCGGCTCACCAAAGCCCTGCCAGTTGTAGATTTTGAAAATGCGGCCCCCAGCTTCAAACATTCGTCTCTATTAGCCACAACTTGAGGTGCGGACGCCAATGGATTGATAAGGAGAATGGTGTCTAGTAATCTCCGCTCTGGATGAAGGGTGTGAGGAAACACTGGATCGACCAAGGTGAAGTTGGGTTCACAAAGTGAGGGCATGCGCCGACGTCAACAAGCGATTTGGTTGCCCAGATGGGTGTCGAAAAGATCAGCGATAAACCGTAATACAATGTTTTAAAGCCTAAAAACTTGCTCATAAGCTTGTATTGTCAACTGCAAAATGAATTCCATTGATTGTAGATTTTAAAGGCGTTTCCCATTTCCGGTCATTGTGATATGAGTAACAATATAGCAAATATCTTTTAAAATTAGCAATATTGACCTACTGCATTCAGATATGGCTGACAAGTTTGAATTTGTATTTATTATTAATTTATTGCATTAATTGTAGATTTAACGGCGTTTTTTCATATCTAGTTAAAGGGATATGAATACTAATATGGTAATATGGCAGCTGCAGTTAACCGAAATGTGTGTGTGTGTGTGTGTGTGTGTGTGTGTGTGTGTGTGTGTGTGTGTGTGTGTGTGTGTGTGTGTGTGTGTGTGTGTGTGTGTGTGTGTGTGTGTGTGTGTCTGCTTGTATTAGTCTCGCCTGATACCGATTTATAGTGCAAGTCCACTGAGATACCATGCCGCAGTTTCACATTAATATCCCCGTCAGACAGTATACTGACTCCGAGCTGACCAGTTCTTGTTTTAGCCGCTTAATGCCAGACGGCGTAACAACAATTACTATCTTTAAACGCCTTTTGGTATGACGCTCTACCACTAAGACAACGGAGGCTAAGACACAAAGTGACGTTACTTACGGAGCCTGAAGTTAATCCCGTGTGCTTCCCGAGAGAGCCATAGAGTAAGTGGCGGTTGTATTCTGCGTAGCATGCTTATATCCCATCATGTACTCCAGTGTGCACGTGCTATACAGGCTGAAGTACTAGTATCCGGTCTGGAGGAGCTTTCTGCTGACAGTAACAGACTGGTTACAATGTGCATCTTGTCAAAGGACGAGGAAGTGAAATGCCTTGTTCACTGACACATTGTACCATTTGTTTACAAGCAAGAAAATTATTTTCTCCTGGAATTTAATTAGGTGCTTTTGACAGACAAAGACACCCGGTCCATGTTAAGTTTTGAAAACTTATATCATGAGAAATAAAGACACAATTTTGGTTTCTTTATTGAATATGAGAAATCCAGATTGTTCCATCAACATGATTTGTACCGATACATATATTTTATCTTGGCTTGATTACCAAATGAAGTTGAATCCTTTTCATCTTTTGTTATTTTATCTGTACTCATATCTGGTCAAGACATTTTCAAACTATTCAGGATAGATGTATTAGCAGCTTCCTTTTGATAAACAATTACCTATCATCATACAGGATTAGGTTTCCTTTGAACTTATTTTAAACATATTTCACACATTATTGCTTTTGTCGTGCACGGTGCATTCTCAATTGTTAATAATCGGTTAAATAAGTGATGTTTGAAGAACAAGTAAAGTTTCATCTGTCAATAATTTTTTAATTTGAAGTTTACACGATATACGGCTTTTCCATTGGACGAGAGGTCGGTCACATGACCGCGAAATTGACGTTCTTAAGTGTATGAACGACACAATTTGTCGTTCATACGTTTTTCATGAGACCGTGTTCTTGAAAAGACGTACACACTAACGGACTACTTCCACATTCCTGGGGAAACCCCTGGGAATTCCTTAGCACGAAAACATACATACACAATATTTCTGATCATTAAGAATCTTTAATCTTGGTCTCAGAATTTTAGTATACATTGAGAAACGTAAGATAGCTTGACTGCATTATTGTTCACGAATTTCCTTGCTACGGCCCATCCTAATGAACAAACGAATAAAATGCACACCCAAACTATCGTCAGTATCAACTCGATCTGTGTTTAGGCTGACAGTGATTGTTTCCAGCAATCTACGAATTTACCTTGGTGTTTGTTTGACGCATCCATACGCTCATGTCACCTCTCTTTTTCTTTTTTTCTTTTTTTTTTTTGCTGGGGGGGGGGGGGGGGGGGGGAGCGGTCGGGTAGCCTAGTGGTTAAAGCGTTCGCTCGTCACGCCGAAGGCCCCGGGTTCGATTCCCGACATGGGTACAATGTGTGAAGCCCATTTCTGGTGTCCTCCCGCCGTGATATTGCTGGAATATTGCTAAAAGCGGCGTAAAACCATACTCACTCACTCTCTTTTGGGGGAACTATTTTATTCTGCGATATAGCTGGTTGTTGTTTGGCTGCCAGTGTAAACATGAAGTCGCCTGTACTAAAAAATAAAATTGTGTTTAGATCTTGGCCTACATCCTTTGAGGTAAGAAATTGTGATAAAAAATTATAAGAATTGACCTGCACTTTGTGTGAGTTCATTGGAGTATGAATCTTCATAGGGTGAGGGCCAAACATTGTATGAACGTCGTCGCAAGCTCCGACGTTCATACAGTTTGGCCCTCACTCTATGAAGGTTCATACTCCAATGAACTCACACAAGGTGAAGGTCAATTCTTAATTGTACACACTGAATAGAGTTATCGCCCCTTCTGAATATATATTTTGACACACGAGTTATTTTGTGAACTAATTTCATTTACATCGTAATATGTTTAGATGAAAATCATAGCAGAAAAAGTGTTTTTTGTCAACTGCACTCATGGCAAAACGACAGTGCGTTGTGCAGCAACCACCACTATGAAACGTGAAATGAACATGATCTACGATCTCGAGTTCGCCAAGCCGCGCATTACTGAGCAAATTTGCAAAAGTACACTGACCTGTTACATGTTATGCGGTTCATTTACGATACAAAACTTCTTTCATTGAATGTACTGTCATATTGTACCTATATGCCGACGAGGTTATGATGAATATAATATCTGTTTCTCGAAATGCACCTTTCGATTCACTTCCGGGATCCTGACAGCAACATGTTATTGCCAGTGTATTACAGGCATATTTTAGTTGGACCTTAGGATTAAATGGGAAATATCTTCTGTATTAGATACAGAGGATACCATTTTTTGTTTGTTTGAAATGTCCATCAGTGAAATGCACAACATTCTGTCTGTTCCCTATCAGCTGATGCGACTCACATTACATGGAGCTTTGCTCTCCAAGCCTTGTTTTCGATCCAAGATGGCGAAAGTGTGAAAGAGGTCAATAGACCTAAATGAAGCAAGTCTAGACTGTTCACAGGTTCAGGACAGTCTCATCTCACTGGGTCTCTATCTATCAAAATTATATTATTATTAGCAGAGACTAAGCGTTAATAGTATGTTACCCTAGCTGTGCTTGATATTTCTCAAAATTACGAGTTGTTTATGGAAGTTTAACATACAAACTAGTGTTCCCACTGCTGGCAGATTTCCGCGCTTGCCTCCTTATCTGCACATCGTTCTTTTACGTTTACCTCTGTAAACGATAACACATATTTATGTTAATTCTTACGAATAAAAGTTAACAATAACCACTTCATTGATAGCTTATGTAATCATTAATACAAAAAGACCACAGACAACAGTAGCAAGTCTGTGACATAGCACAATAGTGCAACATGTACCCTGCCCACTCTGTTTTCAGGCACTCTGATAATGTTGATGGCTTATTTCGTTTCCGGTTTGTGGAGAGATAAACACAAACAAACGCCTTGGTTAGCCAATCAAATGCCACGAAATCAATTGCAATTTATTCATAGTTTTGTAAACAGACATGCGGCAGAACAACCAATTAACGAATAGGAGTTAATTACCTAAATTATATTCCTTGGTGAGAATTATTGAATGAATGAGTGAGTTTTACGCCGCTTTTAGCAATATTCCAGCAATATTACGGCGGGAGACACCAGAAATGTGCTTCACACATTGTACCCATGTCGGGAATCGAACCCGGGTCTTCGGCGTGACGAGCGAACGCGAGAATTACTGAAAGATAATCCTCATGGAATAATAGTTATTAATATCAAAGCATGGATATTGCCGTAAAAGGACAGCAAAACGACCATGTGTGTTGGGTATTATGGACACTTCATATCCCATAAGTAGTAGTATGCATCGGTACCAGCGGGTCTTTTTCCAAGATGGCGACATACAGGAACCGGAAGTGCCGCCATCATGGAAAAGACGCCGTTAGAAAGGTGGTAAAGTACTGTTTTTTCGATCTCAGATTTTAAATAAATGCAGTTAATATACAAAATATATAAATATACAAACAACTCAATTAGTACTATTTGGGCCTTGGCACAAATACAGCGTATCAAAGGTTTATATGTCTTTTTACACGTAAAAGTGTGTAAAAATATGAAAAAAACCAGGCTATTGTGAAACTGAGCATAACCAGGTATTAGTAGATCAAAGGGAATGTCCATGACCTATGACACCTTGACGACAGGTGAAAACAGGTGCTTGAAACCCACGTGCATGTGATTTGTCAGTGGTTAGTGATTTATGAGTAGCATTGTGGGATAGTGAAGAATCGTCAAAATATCAGAACGTAAAAGTAACATATTCCCTTCTCAAACAACAACTTACAGGTCATGATTATTATGTACATAAACATAGCTGTTATTTTTATTGTTGTTTTGATAACATTTTTCCAGGCTAATTAGCATAACGCCTATAGCCTGTTTCTGCCATGTCAATTTGGACTTAGTTTTACTTTTGAATGTTGAAAGTGCCTACAAATTACCTCCTGTAAAGTACATTTTGTATTGAGCACTGAGATAAAACTAGCAAATCCAGACCAGTACTTTTCCAGTTGTTTTGTTATTTCATATAAAAAGGGAATGTCCATGACCTATGACACCTTGACGACAGGTGAAAACAGGTGCTTGAAACCCACGTGCATGTGATTTGTCAGTGGTTAGTGATTTATGAGTAGCATTGTGGGATAGTGAAGTATCGTCAAAATATCAGAACGTAAAAGTAACATATTCCCTTCTCAAACAACAACTTACAGGTCATGATTATTATGTACATAAACATAGCTGTTATTTTTATTGTTGTTTTGATAACATTTTTCCAGGCTAATTAGCATAACGCCTATAGCCTGTTTCTGCCATGTCAATTTGGACTTAGTTTTACTTTTGAATGTTGAAAGTGCCTACAAATTACCTCCTGTAAAGTACATTTTGTATTGAGCTCTGAGATAAAACTAGCAAATCCAGACCAGTACTTTTCCAGTTGTTTTGTTATTTCATATAAAAAGGGAATGTCCATGACCTATGACACCTTGACGACAGGTGAAAACAGGTGCTTGAAACCCACGTGCATGTGATTTGTCAGTGGTTAGTGATTTGTGAGTGGCATTGTGGGATAGTGAAGTATCGTCAAAATATCAGAACGTAAAAGTAAAAAAAAATATCATGATTATTATGTACATAAACATATCTGTTATTTTTATTGTTGTTTTGATAACGTTTTTCCAGCCTAATTAGCATAACGCCTATAGCCTGTTTCTGCCATGTCAATTTGGACTTAGTTTTACTTTTGAATGTTGAAAGTGCCTACAAATTACCTCATGTAAAGTACATTTTGTATTGAGCACTGAGATAAACCTAGCAAATCCAGACCAGTACTTTTCCAGTTGTTTTGTTATTTGGTATTTACATCTACGTAATGCTTTGTTAAATCCAGCAAAACAGGTTTTTTTCATTTCCATGAGTACTTTTGTATTTTACAGACAACTGCAAACAAGATCCATCACATGGCTGACATTTATGCTGCTTGATCCGTATCAGGTACATCTCGGCCCAACAACCCCAAGTGGTTGGCGGTTCTTCTTCGGATAATAGTGACTGACGTGGGTTTCTCATTCACTTCTCCATCAAG